CAATCCCCTCGTGCATAGTTCTGTGAGAACAGTTAGGAGATTGTTGGTATTGTACTAGTAATTATTTTTAAATTTAAATTAAATTTGGGGGCAATTCACATGTGCATACATACATGTTTTTCTGTGTGCATGCAAGCATGTGTGTATTACATATTTTCATTCATCTTGTGTAGAAAATTGCCAAGATTTTTGTATAATGTTTAGATTGTACGGGTTTTATTAAATCAAGAGATACTGTACTGTATATGATTACAAATTAGGTCTACTCAAATCTTCCCACAGACAGTGCTGTATAGCCTTCGAGGCTTAATGATTTATTCTGATAATTATCTTGTGGTTTCCTTTACACCAGTGTCAGCACCTATTGCTTTATTAGTTAATTTTATAGGATAATATTTATTGTTATATTTATGCAGGTAAAATTTGGTATGGCTATGTTGGTTTATGGCATTATATACATTCCTTGTGGTCCTTGACACAAATTTTATATTAGGTCAGCATTAACTTTGATACAATACAGGATAGGATTGGGACAACTAGGGGTTGCATGGCATTAGCTCTTTGCATTTATTTGTTATGGTATTTCTTTACTTTAATGAAATGCAAAGTGAAATCCCTATTGAAGTTATTCATGAGTGACATGTCACTCATGACATGATTGATAATTCCCCTTCACCCCTTGTCAAGAATCCAGTACTTGGGATCAGGTTCTAAATGAAGGCGATGAGTCACAATAACATGGCTGAAGTATGTTGGGTGAGAATGGTCCAGGGCGGACTGAAACGTCGTCGTCCCTTCACTTTCTAGTGTGTGGTCTGGTCAACAGGTTCTAAATGAGTTTGCTTCTGTGACAAATGCCTGTTGACTGCAGAAATTAACTGCTTTAGATGTTTAAAATGATGTACAGTAATAAATGTTATATAACCTCATTCCCCAAGTAGTGCTAAATTAAACAAGTGTTAATTGTGGTTTACTTTTATCATACTTGCATACCTTGTGGTGGTTCCGAGGATCAACGTCCACGCAGCCCGGTCTTCAACCAGGCCTCCTGGTTGGTCGTCTGGTCAACATGGCTGTTCGCAACCTGATGTATGAATCGCAGTCTGGTTGATAAGGTATTCTTTGAATGTGTTTGTCGAGTTCTCTCTTGAACATTGTGAAAAACCGGCCAGTTATGCTCGTGTATAGCGAGTGTCTTGAAAAGCCTTGGGCCCTTGATGTTAACAGTTCTCTCTCGGAGTATATATTGCACCTGTGCATAGCTTGTAAGTAATGTACTGTTCTGTATTTTGGGTTAAGTAAATCATATTTTCTCAGATTATGCATCTGAGTTTATTTTGAGAATGAATTATATTTTTTATATACAGTATTGCACATATTTACTGAAAGTATCAGTAGAGTATTATGTAAAGATTAGCCATTAAATATTTGATGTCTAATATCAATGGACCCTGATCTGAAGTTAATAATGAAGCAAGTTACTTTATCCCTCTGCTACACTTGCACTTTTATGAATAATTATACATTTAACTTGCATTTATGAATGCTATATCTTTTCCAAAATAAATTAAAAAAAAAAAATATATGTTCATGTGAGATTTGATTATGGTACATGTATCAATTTAATATTTTGTCATCTTTCTTAAACAAGGCTTGATGCCACGTTTTGATGATTACTTTTCAAGCACAGATGTTCCCTCCTTACTCTTAGTGTTTAGAATGTTAGACATGTATTATGAATTACTGAATTATCGAAGAGCTCGACTACCTGCTCATTGTCATGCCTTGCTTATCACTGCCCAAAAGGTGTTAGAGTCTAGTCGTATGGCTAGTGGAGAGCATAGCATGTACAAGTATTGAAGAATAGTGGATATAAAGTAATAAACTAAACTGTTTACATAGTTTACAGTTTATATCCACTTTAAAGATTATACAGTACAGTACAGCCAAAAAGAAAAAACTGCACATTTTTAATTTAATCATTAAATATTGCCGCTGAATAAAGTGGCTTTGTTAAAACTTAAAAATTGAACTATCTGTTCTTAATGAGATTATGTACCAGTGATGAATACTTTAGTACATCGTATGTTCATGTTATTGAAATTGAGGATTTGTGAAAAATTTCTTCCTTGGAAGATAGTTTCCAGCTTCACTCATTTGCTATCTTGACAGTGAGGTGCCCTGTATAGTAGGCAGATGGTTAATCTTTCAGCAACACTGGTTTTAATTTTTGTTAAAGCAGTAGGCTTAAATAATTTTCAAACTATTTTCTGTATGTTTGCTAAAATGCCCTGGTACAATTTGTATCATCACTAGACAAATCTGCTTGTTTTTCGTTCCTGCTGTCAAAAGAATCTTTAGATTTAAGTATTTTTATATAATATATATTCTGTATTGAAAGAATGTGAGGGTAAAAGATGAGTATTAATTGTTTAAACATTTCATAAATTTGTATTAATGGTCACTGGGGTGTGTAGCCATTACCTTTACTACAACTATTTTCTCCTTGTCCTTCCAGAATGGGAAGGCTTTTATTATAAAGTTGATCCAGGACTTGCATGTGCACATAGGCCAAGGTTTTAGTCCTGTTTCCATTTTGTTTAAGCTTCTTACTGTCTGTTAAACAGACAAAATTATAATAAATGAAAAATTGTCCCTTTTATAGGCTTGTTTATTACCTGCTTGCAGCATACAGTATCCACTCAATTTAACGGCCTATATGGGGCTGTACCCTGGTCGTTATTTCCGGAGTTCTGGTATTTCCGAAGTTAAGATGTCGGTAATTTTTCAAGTAACATTCAGGTAGTTGTCACCACTCGACTATCCGGACTATATGGGAAGGACCCCCAGCCGGATTATCACATTTTCGAATATTTCTCCTGCAGCTTTGTTTCGTTAGTTTAAATCTATGACCTCTTGTTCTTGAAGTTCCAGGTCTCAGGAATTCTTCCCTATCAATTTTATCGATTCCTGTTACTATTTTGAACGTAGTGATCATATCGCCTCTTTTTCTTCTATCTTCTAGTTTTTGCATATTTAATGCCTCCAACCTTTCCTCGTAGCTCTTGTCCTTCAGTTCTGGGAGCCACTTAGTAGCATGTCATTGCACCTTTTCCAGTTTGTTGATGTGCGTCTTAAAATATGGGCACCATACAACCACTGCGTATTCCAGCTTTGGTCTAATAAAAGTCGTGAACAATTTCTTTAGTATTTCGCCATCCATGTATTTAAAAGCAATTCTGAGGTTAGAAAGTGAAGCATAGGCTCCTCGCACAATGTTCTTAATAATGTGGTCCTCAGGTGACAGTTTTCTATCTAGAACCACCCCTAGATCCCTTTCTTTGTCAGAATTCTTTAAAGATTTCTCACATAATTTATAGGTTGTGTGGGGTCTATGTTCTCCAATTCCACATTCCATAACATGGCATTTATTCACATTAAATTCCATTTGCCAAGTATTGCTCCATATACTTATTTTGTCCAGGTCTTCTTGAAGGGCATGATGGTAGGGTGGAGGTGTCAGAGAAGTCTGGTGGTGTCAGTGGAGGAGGGGTTTAACGGAGGTGAGGCTAAGGTGTATGGGCGCATACACTCTCTCACTAGCAGTGATCAGGTGTCAAGTCAATTTAATGACAATTATCACATTATCTACACTGAAATTAGCCTTTTTTATTAATAAAATGTCATACTAGAGCAATATTAATGGTGAAAAGTGTGATATACAGTATTTGGAATTCATTTACTTTTCACAGAATTGTTAAGACAAATGGGGTGTAGCAACCCACAGCTGACTTGGCATTGTGTGGCAGGGGAGCAGTGAGTCATTCCTAGAGTCGGGGAGGGGGGTTCCAGCTGCCTCCCTCTAACAGTCTACTAGTATAAACCATGTGCATTAATACAGTACAGTATAAAATGCATAAAACTTCAAAATAAACAATATTTTACTAATTATATATGGTTATCTATGCTTTCAAACGGCTTTATAAAAGAGCTATGAATTCAGACATTATGGAAGTTCTGCTCTCTGAGGAAGACAAGATGCTTAATAAGGGTACAAGGGCTAGTAGAATACTAGAAAACGTTAAGAAATATTCAATTAAGACAATTTACAACTGGGCCAAAAAATGGGGCGAGTTGAAGGTCATCACATTAAAGAATGCATGGAATAAAATTTTGAGTCCGGTACCTGGTGAGAATAAAGACGAAGATGATTATGATTTTGAGGGCTTTGATAATGCAATTTTTGAGACATTATGAAATGCTGGTGAGGAAGATTTGCAACTTTCTGATGTGACTGAGTGGTTAGATAATGCTGCTGATGATCCAGGTTATGGTAAATTAAATGATGATCAGATTATCCAGTGTGTTACTGGTAATGCTAAGGAGGGTGTGGAATAGAAAGATGACAGCGTGTTATCTATTCCATTTGCTGCATCATTGCAAAAGGTTAATGATCTGCTTGATTTGGTTGCTGTAACTGATGATGAACAGGTGTTATCTTGAGGTTATCTTGAGATGATTTCGGGGCTTTTTTTTTTTTAGTGTCCCCGCGGCCCGGTCCTCGACCAGGCCTCCACCCCCAGGAAGCAGCCCGTGACAGCTGACTAACACCCAGGTACCTATTTTACTGCTAGGTAACAGGGGCATAGGGTGAAAGAAACTCTGCCCATTGTTTCTCGCCGGCGCCTGGGATCGAACCCAGGACCACAGAATCACAAATCCCGCGTGCTGTCCGCTCGGCCGACCGGCTCCCGTGTAGATAATAATCTGCCAGCTCAAGAGCATGAAATATTATAATGAAGCTCACAACAAAGAAACAAACTAAGATTTAAAAGTTTCTTGTACAGTTTCACAGTAGGCCTACAGGATCAGCACCCAGCACTAGCAAGGACTCACTTCGTGACTCAGGTGCAATTTTTCATAAGGCAAATATGTTCTGGCATATGTATTAATGTGGCTGGGGTTTTTTTGGTGAGGGGGGGGGGAAGAGGGGATGGGTGATTGGGGGAGGGGGGGGGGGTAGAAGGGTTGTTGCGACCAGATTGATGGAACTAATTCTGCACTGGAACGAATCAGCTTTATCCCATATAGTTCGTTCAAGTGAGGACACGCTGTACAAACTCTTTTCAAGAGCTACAAACATTTCAAACATTTTCAAAAATGTTTTCAAACATTTTACAATTTATTAAATAATGTAGTGAAGTCTCTTCACAAACCTGCAGACTGCGAAGATCAACAGGATTGGCACCAGAGGTCAGCATAATCTGAATGTCTTCTACCTTCTCTTCTCCCTGTGGTCGAGGAGCAGTCACCTCATCAGCAACTTCTTTCGCAGCTTCCTCAAACTGTATACCAAAATTGAAGTAAAATAGGCAAGAAATTTGTCTGCAACAGAATACTGTACACTAGAAATTGAAGAGACGATGACATTTCGGTCTGTCCTGGACCATTATCAAGTCGACTGTGATAATGGTACTGAACGGACCAAAACGTTATCATCTCTTCAATTTCTAGTACAGTATGTGGTTTGGTCAACATTTTTCAGTCACATTATTGTGACTCTTCATCCCCAGAATTCTGTACATAGTTAATAATTTTGTATACATCATTTGTTTACTGTGTACAATATATATTTACTTTCCACCATCAGCATAATTGAAGAAAATGCAGTTTATATTTACTAGGAATAGGTAAACCAATGATATCTGAAGAACTAACAATTTACTTTATTATTACTTTCTCCCTTTTTCCCATCTTAGAAATGACCTTAGGCAGATATAATAAATGCAAAGACTGTAATGGTTTCAGGTTTCTCAAACTAATTCCTTTTTGATCAACCTGACTGCTACTTACAAAAGTTGTTAGAAAACTTTAGTTCAGTAACAGAATTAGCAAGCTAAACTGAATGGAAGTATTGTTCAACTGATGCAATTACCTCAATCAGCTATAAAAATTTAATTTAGTAAACAGATACACAAAAGGAAAACAAGTTGTGAAAATCAGATATGCCTCAGAGGGGCTCATAGGCTTATTGAAGTAATCCGCTTAAAATGTTCTTAGAAAATATCTTACTTTAACAGAAAAATAATCTGTGTACATAAATCATATTAAAATATTTTAATTTTCCCATTAATGTAAAGCTTACTGTGGGCAACATCATAATTACCGAACATAGAGAAATAAGGACTCACGAGTGGGAGATGTTCTGTAGGGGCTTTCTTAAGTTTACCTGCAAGGGTTTCATCAAAGCTGGCTACATCTTCAAGACTGACTTCCAAATAATATTGCCGCAAGTTATAATGATGCTTTAGAGAGTCTCTGAAAAAAAAAAAAAAAATTTTAAAAGAAAATTTTTTTTTTTTTTTTTTTTTTTTTTTTTTTGCAGGGATATTCCTGCATGGGCCCTAAGGCTTTGGCCTACTAAGTGTTGCTTGTTTCTGTTTTACTTAGGCTGAGTATAAGTATTTATGACTCATATTGTCGCTTCAGTAAGACTTTGCCCCATGTTAAACTAACAACTTCTGCTCTGTTGAATCTAAGTTGAAATCTGAATGGGTTTGTAACTCTGCACCGTGTTGCAGTGGTAATGTGATAATGTTCCAGTGGTCTGTTGGGCATTTCTCCAGTGCTGACATTTCCTCTCATCTTCTGGAACCTGTAAGCCTATTTCCTATGCACATGGGTATCCAAGCCTGATACAATGTAAGTGTACTTCTGTTGTTCTACTGCTCCCTTTCATCAAATTAAATGGTTCGTAGTTGGTTGAATTCTTGTACCAACCCGCATATCCTGATGTTGCAACTGCTGTGTTGTGGTAACTGTACATCTTTTGCATTGCTCTGTTTCTAATTATATTAATAATAATAAAAACTAATTAATAATTCTTCCCCTACCACCTCTATTTATTTATTTATATATATACAAGAAGGTACATTGGATTTGTGAGAGTACATAGCATTGTGTTTACATTCTTGTAAAGCCACTAGTACGCACAGCGTTTCGGGCAGGTCCTTATGATAACAGATAATATTAAGTAGGTAAATTCTAGCAAAATTTATAAAATGTTAACAGGTACATTGTAAGAAAAAATTGAGAGAGATTAGTAGGTATGTTAAAGCACATTGATATGTTTGATTGATAGCATTGATAGCTTGATTGATAATTTGACAAAGATTAATAGGCACAATAAAGCATATTGATAGAACATATAAGATGACAGCAATGATCATTATAGTAAAGTTGTATGACGTAGGTACATAAATATTGGGGGACTGGGTAGCACTAGATACAGTGTGAGTTTCAAGCACTAGGTAGGAAACTATGAAGATGAAATTAGGTATTTTTGGTTTTGTTTTTGAATAAGACAAAAGATGGACAGCTTTTCTATTCATTAGGGAGTGAGTTCCACACACCAGGTTCCTTTATTTGCATAGTGTTTACACAGTTTAAGTTTGACTCCGGGGATATCAAAGATATATTTATAACTGGAGGATGATTATGGGTCCTATTACATCTGTCCAGGAAGAGTTTCAGAGCAGGGTTTGCATTTAAGAACAGTAAATGTAGATGGCACAAGAGGATGTGTAGAGTGAGGTTATGTTTGGCATGTCTAGGAATTTAAACAAGGGGGCTGAGTGTTGTCAGAAAGCAGTTTGTTATTGTTCTGATAGCAGATTTTTGCTGGGTGATGATGGACTTGAGGTGGTTTGCAGCGGTTGAACCCCATGCACAGATACCATAATTAAGATAGGGATAGATTAGTGCATAATATAGTAAAAGGAGAGTCGAGTTAGGTACATAATGTCTGATTTTAATTAAGTGGTATACCAACTATTTTAGAGACTTTCTAAGTTATGTGTTGTATGTGGGTGCTGAAGTTGAGTCTCTTGTCTAAGTATAGGCCAAGAAACTTTCCATCATTTTTATTACTGATGTTAACATTGTCTATCTGAAGCTGTATTGCATGTGTTGATTTGCTTCTAAATAAGATGTATTAGGTCTTTTCTATGTTTAGTGTGAGTTTGTTGGTTGACATTCATAAGTGGACTTTTTTAATTCATTATTCACAGCATTATTTAATGTGTGGGGGTTGATGATACTACCATCATCAACTAGCGAGTTGATGAGGGTAGTATTATCGGCAAAAATATAGGTTTAAGAATGGTAGAGACATTAGGCAGATCATTGATGATCAAATCATAGATATCTTGACAAAACCCAATTTAATTTTTTAAAGTACTTATACATAGATATATACCATAGGTTATACGTTCTATACTCCAGTTAACTACTGTTGGAGACAGGAAGCCTGTTAGGTTAATCGAGATCCCTCTGGCCAATGTCCGTGATGTTGGTGTGGTCGTATATTGTTACTGACCTTTTATTGATTTATTTATTTATATATATACAAGAAGGTACATTGGGATTGCGAGGATACATAGTATAGTAATTACAATCTTGTAAAGCCACTAGTAGGCCCAGCGTTTCGGGCAGACCTAAGCCAATGGTGGTGACCCTAATGACCAAGTGATACCCACCAGGTAACACAAACTATTGCAACCACCTTCGTTGCATCACTTCTTAGTTGAATTACAGGTTATCCCTTAGCATACATTGCACAGTAGCCATGAAACTTACCTGTATTTGTAATTGAAGTTCCCTTCGTGAAATTCACGCAAAAATTCTCTAAATTTCTTCTTTACAGTTTGTAAGTTGATTTAACTTAGATCATTTTGCTCTTCAGTAGAAAAGTTATCGGAGAAGAAGATGCCAGGATTATCAAAGCCTTCCATTATGACACTGTTATGGAGCACGTTTATCCCCGAGAACCTTTGCCTCTCACAACAACACTAACTTTGGCGGGAAAAGATTTCCCGCAAAAATTCTGAGCATGCGCAATGAGTGCGGCGCAGACGACGCAGACGGCGCCTTCTCACATCAAATTGAGATTAAAGTATAAATTGTGCTGAAAAAGGAAAAAAAGGGGGGAACATGGCAGAAATTAGCAATTATACAACTTGGTCAACAAACAGTATTGTTTGAAAATAGTTTAGTTTAGTTAATTTATTATGCACCCCATACCCATCTTGTGGGCGGTAGTGGAAAGGGTTACAGAGGCACATAATGGGCTCAGGTCAGTTGTATCCAGACCACGGTTGTGTGCGGTCGCTAGGTTGGCGCTCTTGGCGTCCGCTGATTGGTGGGAGGTGGAGGATTGCCCCACACTCTTCGTTTTTGCACGTGGTGATACAGGATATTGTGCATTTGTTCTCGATTATTGACAGCGTCGAAGAAATGGCTGAGGCGTTATGCCTAAGTGGTAGTGAGGAGGACAGACAAGATGATAATCGACCGTTTGAATTAGTAGTGAACAAAAAGAAACGGAGAAATAATAACAGACAGTGAGAGTGACGATGAGATTGCAAAGAGACCAAAGAATGATACCCTACTCAGCAAGACTCAAGACAAGCAAAACAAGACAAGAAGGAAGAGGCTGTTGTTCCCTACAACATGCCAATTGAATTTCCACCAAAAGCTAGAGTGGACGGTACGTCTGGCTAAACAATGTTTGGAATACGAACCACTTTTCAAGGAGGGTCTTCATCGGCCCTACATAACAGTTGGGACTGAACAGGCCGTGGAACGCCTCACGACGGTTGGTTTTGAGAATGTAGTGATGGTTCCTCCAGAAGAAGGTATGTTGCACACAAAGATCATAGTTTTCAAGTTTCCAACTTATTTGGATCCTGACTGTCTTCTTCTTAACAATGATAATGTTGTCTGGGCAAAGAGGAACAGTGTTCGTGGTGACAAACGAAGCCAGATTGTTGCCTTGGTAAAGGGTGAGGCGCCGGAGAAAATCTTTGTGCAAGGACTAGGCTATAGGAACGTTGCAAAATACGTTGAGGAGCCCATACTGTGCATGAAGTGTTCACGTTGGGGACATATGGCATGGAAATGCCAGTTTGACCCCAGGTGTCGGTATTGTGGGAAAAATCACGACTCGCGAGAGTGTAGAGTCAAGATTGAAAGAAGTGAAAAAATCATCCCATTTTGTTGCAACTGTCGAGGCAGCCACAATGCTGGTTCCTCTCTATGCCCCATGAAGCCTCATCTGAAAGAGACTAGAACGGGTCCTACAAGCAGGATAGATGTATCCTCGCAGCAAGGAAAAATTGTGCAAGAGGAACATGGAGCAGTTGGAAGCCAACGGCAGCCCCTATGATCAATGTGTGGGAAAAAGGGACGGAGAAAGTAAAGGGGAGCTTAGGGAAAGTGCATCATGCAGTGGAAAAACTGGAACCTTGTGACGACAAGGTTCAGGACAATATGGTCACCTCTGAGGTTGGTAATCAAATTTTGGAGTATCTAAAAAAACTAGATAAGAGGATTGAGGCATTGGAAAAATTGGCTATGGAAGGTGGACGGGGTGAAGATGGTGGTGAAACAGGACGTGTAATTGAAAGTAAAACGAGACGTGAAATGGAAAGTGAAACGTGCGTAGACGAAAGTAATGATGTGCATGAGGTAACGATGATAGAGGATAGTCAGGAGAATACACTTTCTAGTAGTGTTAGCGGTGTTCAACCTCCTGTTGTGACAAATGGTGAAAGAACGGTTAAAGTAAAACGGGTTACAGAAATAACAAAGAAAATAGATATGAAAAATATTACCTTCGATGTTAGTAGTAGTTGTGAAGGTGAGGAGAAAGAAAAAATGTTACGGTGTTGGAAGGAAGTTTCTAAGGTACTCTTGTATCTCATGGAATGTGACGGACAGGGCAAAGGTAGTTTTATTATTAATCATGGATGAAAGTAAATTGAGAATATTATCTTGGAACATTAATGGATTAAAAACTAGAGCGGTGGATGTACACTATTATACTCTTAGAGAGGATATTGACATAGTAGCACTCCAGGAAACTGGGGATAGGGATGGTAGCATACTGAGGCTAAATGGCTATAGAGGCTTTCACTTATATGCTGATGGAGGAACTAGGGGGTCTCATGTTATGTCAAAAGTACCATACCTGCCGAGATAACTGGAATCCCTCAGAGATATAGAGGTATTGAAAGTATTAGCTTGCGGATACAATTAAAGGACCGAGAGTTAAATTTCATTAATCTATACATCTCTGATAGCTCCCTTGATTTACGATACTTGCCAGATTCCTTCTTTTATGAAGATACACTTGTGGTAGGGGATTTTAATGCCAGACATCCAGCTTTAGGATCAAGGGGTAAAGCAAATAGGAATGGTTGCAGATGGTACCAGTTTTTGCAGGAACATGAAGATGTTCAACTGCTGGGCGAGCCCTCTCCTACTCATTTGAGGGGAGGGAGATTAGATTATGCTTGTTTAATAAATGCTGAGGGCATAGAGGGGAATTGTCTTATTGTGGATGAAATGCTAAGTGATCATTTTGCATTACAAATACAGCTTAAACTAGATAAAAAGCATGCCTGCCTTCAGAGGAAAAGGTTAAAGTTTAATGAGGGAGAATTAAGGGGTCTTGTTGGCCATATTAAGTCTTGGTATGATACTTATAAGCCGGTTTCGGCAGAAGCATTTTAATGAAGATTTAATAAAGGAGGTAGATGTATTTAATGCAACATTGAACCGGAAACCATCTAGTATAAAAAGGCATCCCCCCAGAAAAGAAAATTATACACATGACAAGATGCTTAAGGGGTGGACATTAACAATGAGGAGAGCTCACAGGGATTGGAATAGGAATGGTAGGACCGAGGAAGGGAAGAATGCTTTACTGGCAGTTGCTAGGCTGTGTGGGGAGAAGAGAAAGGAAATTAGGAGCAAGTATTGGCAGGAATTTGCAGAGAAAGTTGGGAGTAACAGAAACTTGAAGGAAATCTGGCAAGACGTAAATAAAATAAGGGGTAAAAAGCACAATTTTGTTGCACATCCAGACCCGCAAGGAATTGCAAATGGGCTCGTAAATAAATGGGCGGAAGCTGCCAAACTTAGTTCATTACCCGCTGTAACGAGAGAGTCATTAGATTCTTGGAAAGATCTAAGAAAGGATTTTATACTTATAGCAGATAACAGTGGTGATGTCACTTGCACAGGTATTACCAGAGAAGAACTAATAACGGCGATTAAAGTTGGGAAATCTACCGCACCTGGGGAGGATGGAGTAACTTATGAAATACTTAATGAACTTGCCACTATGACAAAAAGCCCACTTTTAGACCTCTTTAATATTAGTTATAAAGAGGGCAGTATTCCTAGTAAATGGAAAAAAGCTATGATCATCCCTATCCCTAAAGCCAATGGAGAGTATAGACCTGTGTCTTTAACCTCGTGTTTTTGTAAAATGATGGAGAGGATCATTTTAAATAGACTTTTATATATAATAGGTGATCAGCTGTCTAGTAATTTGTTCGGGTTCCTCAAAGGAAAAAGTACCTCTGATTGTATTATTAAATGTCTAGCTAATGAAAATGATTATTATAGAATTTTCATTGATTTACAAGGAGCTTTTGATAAAGCCAACAAAGAGGTTATTTTATATGAATTAGCTAGTCTTGGTGTTAAAGGGAAATTATTGCGCTGGATAGGGGATTATCTTTACGAAAGGAAGGCTCAGGTGTGGTATCAAGGTTGTATGTCAGGTGTGAGGTCTTTTGAACTCGGCACACCTCAGGGAGGAGTGTTGAGTCCCACCCTGTTTAATGTACTAATGAATAAGATAGCATCTGAGAGATACTCAAATGGGGTAACTCCGATCATATATGCCGATGATATTTTGTTTCAGGGCAAAGATATTTCAAAGGTTCAAACAGTGTTGGACAATTTCGGAAACCTGTGTCACCATATGGGATTGGTGGTTAATGAAAACAAAACTAAGTTTGAATGTAGAAGTCGGAGCCCCATTGTTTTGAAAATAAACGATAAAAATATAGAGAGAGTTAATATATATAAATATTTAGGCATATATGTTGGATATACCCATGAGAGTTTGGAAGCTGAGATGAACAGACTGTTGGGTCAATGTCGGAAGAGATTACAACCTCTGAAGGCTTTGGCATGCTGTGGAAAGGGAGTGGGAGTCCCAGTGCTACGAATGTTATACTTGAGTACTGTAAGATCTCTTATTGATTATGCTGCACCTGTCATTTCTTGTTTTGGTAAAGGTAGGATGGGCAAGTTGGAGAAGGTACAAAATGAAGCAATGAGAATTATCTTAGGATGCCCAAGAAATGCTATGACTGAGATAATGAGGATGGAGTTGAATCTGCAAAGTATTGGGGATAGAATTTCAGAGATAAATGTAGCCTCTGCCATTAGATTAATGAGAGGTGGGGGAGCTAATGAATTAATCCTCTCGGTTCAAAAGGTGGGAAGTAGTGAACAGTGTATGATGAAGAAGAGAGTATATATGAATAAATTATGTTATAATGTTATAAAGTATGATGTTATTACAGAGTGTATTGCTGTGCCCAAGAGGAAATTTACACCACCATGGGAGGATTGTAATGTAGATGTAGTAATTACACCATTGCATAAGAAAAAAAGTATGTATGAAATAGGAGAGCTGAGGGCAACATATGATTGTATAATTAGAAAACTGCCTACGGAAAACACTCTACATGTATATTGTGATGGGTCAGTAGCTAGGGATGGGAAGGCACGATGTGGAGTCTTGATCAGGGAGTACACTGACATCGGCACTGTAGATACTGTTATTGGACGCCGCTTAACTGACAATGTCTCTTCAACGCAGGCTGAACTCCAAGGAGTATTAGCAGGATTACAGGAAGTAGTCAAATGTGGTAAAAATGCTTGCTTCTTTATTGACAGCAGAGGAGCGTTAGAGTCTTTAAATAGCAGACGCCCAGTATATCAGAATATTGTGATAGAGTGTAGAGAGAATGTTAAGAGACTAGAAAAAACTGGGTATAAAGTAAGATTC